TTAAGTTTAGAAACATGGCAAAGATTGTTTATACCATTTCTATTCAACATTTTACTGAAGGACTTATCTAGAGCAAGAGGGCGAGGAAAAAAAACTATAATTAAAAAGGAAGAAAAATGATCATTATTCACTTATGACATGATTGCATATGTAGAAAATCCAAAAGCACCTGCAAATAATCATTAATAAGTGGTTTTCACAAGGTTACTAAATACCTGAACAATATAAAATTTTTATTTACTATTAACTAAACAATTGAAATATAATGGAACTGAAATAAGAAATACAATTGAAAGTAGCAATAAAAAAAATCAACTACCTAGAGATAAATCTAATGAGATACGCAAGCTTTCTACACTGAAAACTGTAAAACACTGTTGGTGGAATGAAAGACTTCAAGTGGAAGGATACAGCATGTTCAAGGATGGAAATCTCGTTTAAAAAAGCCATTTCTTTCCAATTTGAGCTACAGAATCAATAAAACGCTAATCAAAATTTCAACAGTTTTTTTGTGATAATTAACAATTTGATTTTAAATATATACGGAAATGCAAAAGACCTAGGACGACCAACATAATCACAAAGAAAAATAGAAAAGCAGGATTTACATGACTAGATATCAGGACCAATGATAAAATAAAAATTAGCAAGTGTGCTATTGATGTAAAAAATAGACAGATTAACAGAACAGAGAAGAGAACCCAGAAGTAGCTCTACGATGCACTGCCATCTGTTGATGACAAAGGCACTACTTCAATTCACCGGAAAAGGATTATCTGAATGGAAAAAATAAATGACTTTTTTGAGTTAAGCACTTCTATTTATTAAAACACAATAAGAACGCAAAAAAGTGAGAAGAAATTTGTAATGTGTATATACAACTAACAGAAGACTCCTTCCACGACGTGTAAAGAATTCCCACAAATCGCTAAGGGAATACAGAAAACTCAGGAGCACCCTGGGCAAAAGACCCGCAAAGGCAGCTAAAGAAATGCATGCAGGCGGCAAATAAGCATGTGAAAGGCACTCGACCTGACTAACAGTCAGAGGAATGCAAATGAAACAACACCAGATGTGGCTAAAATGTATAAAAAGAGTAAAATGCCAAATATTCCAGAGCATATGAATGAACTGGAAACTGCCGGAAAACTTCGTCAGTGCCCGCTAAAATTGAACACACCCATACTCACATGCAGCAACCACACCCTTACGTTACACTTAATATACATATACACCCAAACATATATACACCATGAGATCAGCATGTTCCCAGCAGCACTATTCCTCTTTTCCACAACTGTCAACCACCCAAGTGCCCATCAGTAGAAGACTGGATGAACCATGGTATATTCACATAACAGAATGGCATTCAGAATGCTAACGAAAGTTCTACAACAACACACAGCAATGAGATAAACATCCGAACATAAAGTTTAGCAAAATAAGTCACATAAAACACACAGTGATCATATAATTTATATGCAATACAAAAAACCCAAAAACACAGGCAAAACTAACCTATACTATTAGGAGTCAAGACAAAGGTTACCCTTAAAGGTAATCTTTGAGGGTTACCCTTTGGTTAATGTGTGCAGACTTTTGAGGTAATGTCATTTCCCCTGAGCTCGATGCTGTTTACACAAATGTGTCAAGCTTGTGAAGGTTCTTTGAAAGGCACACTTGTATGATATCTATACTTCTATGTATGTTGTACTGCAAGATAAAAATGTTTTACATATAGGATGGGATGTTTACAATTGCAGTTAATTTCCAAGTTCAAAATTAAAATAAAATAAAATGATAAAAAGATACCCCAAGCCACTGCAACCAAAACCAAAAAAAGTCAGAATTACAACTTGAATATTGGATTTAGGGATAGAAAAAGAAAATGAGAGAGAGGTCAATACTTTCATAACAAAAATGGGAGTGTAACGACCTCTGAAAATTTGCACTTCTATAAAAGCAACAAAAAATGGCAACAATTCTCCTAACACCTTCAGAACTCCAGAAATGAATCAAAGGCTGGCTACAGCAATAAAAAGTGGTATGGTACTGCCATAAGAACAGACAGTCCAGTCCAATGAAACAGAACTGAGAATTTAAAAATAAACCTGTACATCCACGGCCAATTGCTTTTTTTTCATTGAGTTATAGTCAGCTTACAATGTTGTATCAATTTCCAGTGTAGAGCACAATTTTTCTGTCATACAAGAACATACACATATCCATTCTCACATTGTTTTTCGCTGTGACCTACCACAAGATCTTGTATATATTTCCCTGTGCTACACAGTATGAACTTGTTTATCTATTCTATACATACCTGTCAGTGTCTACAAATCTCAAACTCCCAGTCTGTCCCTTCCCACCCCCCGCCCCCACAAGTTTGTATTCTATGTCTGTGAGTCTGTTTGTTTTATATTTAAGTTCATTTGTCTCCTTCTTCCTCCTTCTCCTTCTTCTTCAGATTCCACATATGAATGACTCATACGGTATTTTTCTCTTTCTGACTAACTTCACTTAGAATGACATTCTCCAGGGTCATCCATGTTGTTGCAAATGGCATTATGTTGTCATTTTTATGGCTATACAGTATTCCACTGTGTACCACCACTTCTTTATCCAGTCATCTGTTGATGGACATTTAGGTTGTTTCCATGTCTTGGATATTGTAAATAGTGCTGCTATGAACATTTTTAGATTTCACATATGAGTGATATCATATTGTATTTATCTTTCTCTTTCTGGCTTACTTCGCTTAGAATGATCTCTATGTCCATCCATGTTGCTGCAAATGGCATTATTTTATTCTTTTTTATGGCCGAGTAGTATTCAATTGTATATATATACCACAACTTTTTTATCCGGTCATCTGTTGAGGGACATTTAAGTTGTTTCCATGTCTTGGCTATTGTAAATAGTGCTGCTGTGAACACTGGGGTGCAGGTGTCTTTTGGAATTAGGGTTCCTTCTGGATATAGGCCCAGAAGTGGGATTGCTGGGTCACATGATAAGTCTATTTTTAATCTTTAGAGGAATCTTCATACTGTCTTCCACAATGGCTACACCAAACTGCATTTCCACCAACACTGTAGGATAGCCAATCGATTTCGGGCAAGGATGGCAACACAGTAAATGGGTTTGAAAAGTCTAATGAACAGCACTCAGAACAACTGGATATCCCCATGCAAAAGAATGTCAGTGGGCCGCCTACCCTAAACATACACAAAAATTACCTTAAAATAGATCAATAATCTAAATATAAGAGCTAAAACTGCAGAACTTTTGGAAGAAACTTAGTAATAAATCTTCCTGACCTTAGGTTTGGCAATGAATTCTTAGATACGACACCCAAGACATGACTAAAAGAAGAAAAAAAACAGATAAACTGAAACTTTAAAACTGAAAACCTTTGTGCTTTAAAGGACATAATCAGAAAAGTGAAAAGACAACCACAGAATGGGAGAATATTGTTGCAAATAGTAAATGTAAAGGGGGTTTGCATTCAAAATGTATAAAGAACTCTTACACCTCAATAACAAAAAGACAAATGTCCCACTTAAAATACAAGAAAAAGACTTTAGTAAGCGTTTATCCAAAGTTACATACTTGCCCAATAGATACCTGAAAAGATGCTCAATGTAACTGGTCATTAGAGGAAGGCATTTCAAAGCCACAGTGATGCACCCTTCACGCCCACCGAGATAGCCAGAACAACAGAACACACAAAAATCTAATTAAGTGTAAAATGACGTGTCCCCGGAGAGGTGGGGAACCGGAACCTTCACGCGGTGCTGGCAGGGATGTAGACCAGGGCGGCCGCGGTGGGATCAGCTTCCCCAAAAGCGCAGCGGAGGGTCATGACCTGCCCCGCAGCTCACTGAACACCACCGCCCGCACAGACCCAAACAGATCCATCAGAGGGAATGGTCAACAGTAAGTAACTACTGCTGTGGAGCCCACTGGAAAAATACCAAATTTGGATAACCTGTATCTTAAA